ACCCCCGAGGCTGCGGGGCTGCATTTGACCCGCGGCTTTGCCCGATTTCCTCTGCAGTTTCATGATCCTCAAAAACCAGGATCACGAAACTGCAGAGGAAATCGGGCGAAGCCGCGAGTCAAAATGCAGCCCCACAGCTTCGGGTGTGAAATTGATATGTTTGTGTTGGGGCAAACGGCGGCTGCGCCGTGAGGCAGCTCTAGTGCGAAATCGCCCCCTGTGTTAGCAGAAAAACTGGAAGGACCCAAACTGTTATTGATAAGAAGCTGGTCTAAGATGCTGTTCAAGCACAGTCATTGCTGCTTCTCTGAAAAGTGTGAGGGATTTAGAGATCTAATCTACTGAGACTTCAGAATCTTAGAGCTCCTTCATGGCAAGAGCATACAAGCACATTTTTATGGCATTGTAGCAACAGAAGTTTGTTATTTGTCTGCAAGTTACATTCCCCTCCCCACGTACTGTTATCTTGAAGTAACCCTGGACCTGTACTGCATTTGTACAAGTCTGTAGTAAGGATTTGGGATGAAACCAGGGTTGCCAATTTTTAACTTGTCCCTCTAGCTGCCCCTTTAATGTCAGTGTGAGCTGCAAGCAATCAGCAGGTGCTGTTACTTAACTTCATGCCATGGAGACCTTCAGTTGCCCATTTCCACTCATTAAGTGTCTTGCTAAAGGGACAGGAGGACATGTTTTTTCCTGTCTAGGTGGCACAACCTTAGAGGAAACTAGGGTTACCAGTTTTTAAAAACATCTGCCTTTAATAGCAGCCTAATATGCAGTTGTGGTATGGAAGTTAGTGTTGCAGACAGGTCCTTTGCTTTTAAATGGTCTCAGAGTTCCCCATTTCCCTTCACTTCTGCAAGCAACAGCAGTCAACAGGGTGGGTGGATGGGTGGAGGCTTCCAGTGATTGACTGGTGGGTCAAGAGTAGCCTTTTGCAAGTAGAGTTTGCCAGCTGTCAACTAGTCCTCTGTGAACAGTATACAATAACTCAGAAGACTTAGTTCTGAACATTTTAAGTGTTCCTCCAGGACGCTGGGTATTGGTTGGACAGAAGAAACAAATGCATTGGTTTGTCAAGTAAATAAAATGTAGCACAGTCTAAACCTCTTAATTTGTTTCAGGGAAATGAACAGAGACATAACTTGGGATGTACTTGGGATACCCTTAGGAACTCTTCTGGAGACAAAATTACACTGCTGAAGAGGAACCCCCTCAGTGTTCTTAATACAGATTATGTCCAACTCCTTGGCAAAATTGCAGAAGAACAAGGTTTTAATACAACATATCTGAATATAGGTAAGCACTGGCACAGTGAATGAGAGCCATCCTCTTCCTAATACCTCTTGTCCCAACACTGCCAAGAATAATTTCTGAAGAACTGTATGAGAGAAGTGGGAATTATGGCACGACCATTATGATAATTCTCTCAAGTTTTGGCATGAATCTAAAATAGTGTTTCCAGAGCCCCAGTACAATTTTTTTTTTAAGAAATCAAAGCAGTTCTGCTACTAGCTTTTAGAACTTTTCAAAAATTGAATGGGTATCTGTAGAAAAGCAGAGGGGTTGCAGGTTTAAAATGTACTCAGCTGCTGGGAAACCTGTCGGTTGGCCAGAGAGCTTTGTCAAAAGAATTGTAATAATATAAGAAGTGAACCAGGCTTAAAAGACCATATTTACACAGCACGAGCAGCCCATGAACTCCTACACTGACTGCACCGCATACTTGGAGATCCTTTGCGCACCATAAAACCATTCCTGTGTTGGCACGCAGAGGGCAAGACTAGTGGAACTGCGTGTGCTATTAGGTAACAGAGAGATGAGAGAATCTGGGTTTTGCCAGTGCAGAATGGCAGGAATGGTTTCCTTCATGTTGCTGTCACACAGCTCTGTCAGGCAGGGGCAAAAGCTAATCTCTTGTTAGTGACTTAGGATATTTGGAAAACAGGATTTCTGTCATTGCATTTTACTTGGAAAAAAAAACAATACTCCACTAATCAGGAATACCCGTGTCTAATTCCAGAGGAGCTGAGTGTGAATGGACAATACCAGTGTCTTGCAGAACTTTCAACCAATCCAATCACAGTTTGCCATGGGACTGGAATCTCCTGGGGCAATGCCCACAACAATGCTGCTCACAATGCACTACAATATTTAAAAATCATGGCCGGAAGGAAATGATCTTCAAACAGAGGAAAACATTCAGAGCCGTTTAGAAGTCACATCACACAACCTATCTATAACTTATCTGTTGTGACAGAACAATAATTTAAATCCATAACTGCAGGGTTTTCATTTTGGATCGTTTGACTCAGGAAGCCTAGCTACCTGCATAGGTGCAATCATGCAGTGAGACACAACATTTGGCTTTCTAGGATGGGATCTGATGTGTGTGTGTGTCTCAGAATCCTGGGGGGGTCAAACCTAGACATTGCCCTAAACAGATGGTTGTTCCCCCATAGCCATGTATGTGGTTTCTTCTCCCCTTTTCTGTACACTTTTACATTGTGAATTCACAACATTCTACATTTCTTATCTTCCTCCCTCCTCTGTCAGCAACAGGAGGGCCACAGAGAAATAAGGAATTAAGGTAATTTTTTGCCATGTGTTATGGAGGGGAGGGGAGAACTAGGTGTGGCAACATTTCTGGTAGTGGCGATGTGTTTAGAATAATGTCTCCTTGATCCTCAGAATGCATTGCTCCCAAAGGCCAGGAGCAGGACCTGAGATTTTTGCACATCCCCTTCCACTTGAAAGTACTCCGACACGCTTGAGTTCCCCTGTTGCATTTTTCCTCCTTTCTTCCTCCATTTCATTTTCCGTATTCTGGGAAAAGGGACATTTTGCAATCAGAATAAATTCCAATTAAGCTTGATTAGGCAGAAACTATTCATTTGTTGCTATATGTTCTGATTATGTCATTTTGGTTTTCTGGTTACTGAGTTGGGACATGGGGGAGTGTTTAGCACAGAACTGAAGAAAGTTCAGCTTTAGAATCATAAACGAGCTTTGAGCCTACGCTGCATATGTACTAAAGTTTACAGACTCCATATGAAAACTTCCGTACATATAATAAACTGAAACCAAAGTTGCTGGTATCTGAAACTCCCCAAGAAAATTATTATGAGAGCTTTACGTGATGGCCATGGCATATTATGTATTTTTCTGGTTTTCGGAATTCTGTCTCATTGTGTGAACTGTGGCTTTTTTAAACCTATGGTTTGAGAAATGGATTTTATAGAAATAATGACATTAAACATCACTGTCCTTTTTCATAAAAGATATCTATGTGTCATTAATCATTCTTGAATAAATTGTTTTAAAGAATAAACTACAGTGATAAGGCTCTTATTTTAATGTTAACGCCCTGCATCGCTCACCTTTTCAGGCTGATTAATAGGTAAGCAGGTCTCCTCAGGGTCATACCCTGGGTCTATTCAGTGGGTCTTAGGTTGCATTGTGACTCTCTGAAGAAGCCTCTGGGCCCTGACGTGGGCCAGGACTTACCTCCTGCCCTGGGGCATCATTCAGGGCAGCAGAGAGGACCAATTGCACTCCATGAAGCCTGTAGCAGAGGCTGTGAAGCCTGTGTGCGGTCCTACTCCTCATGGTCAGTACAGCTCCAACAATATTGTATGGATCTGGATGCATGGGAAGGATTACCCTGGGCCTCTGAGCCTACCATGGTGAGCATCTTCCCAGAGATCTCTGTGGGGTCTGTTCATTACACACGGTAACAGCCATGGAACCTCTAGGCTTTTGTATGTATTGTTTAAATCACTGTGGTGCATGGGGATCCTAGGGCTAGTATTAGAACTGACTGCTGCAAGGGGGGGGGGGACCCTGGTAACCTACCCAGAGACTCTTGCCTGATGTATCCCAACATTGGGCAGGGTGGATACTTCTGCAAGACTTCAGTGATTAGCTTAATTCTCAGCCAAATGCTCTTGCACTGGTATAGCTGCTTGAGCTGCTTTTATAAGCATATGGAACTCAGCCATTTAGGCAGCCATCCTAGGCAGGTTTACTTGGAAGTAAGTTCAGTTTTATTTAATGGGGCTTAATGTTGCAGCAACAACAAAAAAGCATTATGTAAATTGCATCTCCCACAATCTTTGTGTTTTTCATAAACTTTTTTTTGGGGGGGTGTAACAGGAAGACATTGATGGGTTCATAAGGTCAGTGTACGTTTAGATTTATTACAACAAATACTAGCAGCAGCATACAGTGATGGAGGTGCATGCTCTGAACAACAGTAGACAATTGAACTTTTTCAGAGATATATTAAATAATTAAACTAGTATTTTAAAGGACACAAAATATGCATTAGAATTTTTGGTAAGGCATTAGCAATGTTCATTGGTAGGTGTAAATCCATTATCCAATTATAGTACGTCGGGGAAAAGGCACAATTTAGGCAAACAGATTATTGGTAAATTGTATTTGCCATTAATGAAGCCCATTCCAGTTATATTTCTCTGGCCATTTTGGAAATCCCTGGAATTCATAGATATCAAGGCAGGTGTTGGGATAGTGGAAGAGCAGGATATGCATCCGTCCAGGTAGATCCAGGCTAATGCCCAATTGTGCAGTTCTCTCTCAAAAAAAGCTGGTGCAGATTCTCTTTGCAAGTGGCTTTATCCAAGGAAGTAACTGCACTGCTTGACATGAGATTCTTGAAGAATCATGGTCTTTGAGCAGAAGACTCAAGATGCCATTTTGCAGTAACTCCTATAATCTTCTGTGATCCTGTTTCAAAATCTTAAGATTGTCCCAATGGTTGCCTAAATCTATCTTTGTAATGTGTACACACAGCTCTTTTCTGAAGGGTTCATGTGGCAAACCCAGTTCACAAATATTTTCAGGTAACAATCCATATTGGGGAAGGGAACCTGTACCGCTGTACTGCATGAATGTCTGTGCTGGCCCAGATACATATGAACCATTGCTCAGTAAATATGCAATAAAGGTATTGATAAAAAGTATCCCCGGTTGGTTTGAACACTTAGTTTTTATTGATTTCCTATAGAATTATTTTTTGAAAAGTCAAGATCTCTTACTTGAATATCTGGCTCTTTGGCTATTTCTGTTAACAGACTCCAGCAAAAATAAAGCGTCTTGGCGTTCATTTACAGATGGGATTTCTACATTTGTCAAGACTTTTCAGGCATCAGTGAGCAGGTAGCATTCAACCAGATAGTTGCACTGATAGTCAAAGTACATGAATATTGATACCCCACTGTCCAGGAGCTCAGACCTGAACCCCGTGGGTCCTCAGGGCAGTTGCACTCAAGTAACCAGACCGTTAATTTTAAAAAGATGTATAAAGTTTATTTCAATTTCTGATAACAGAAGACTTTATTCTATTGCCAACACACCACTCTAAAATCATGCCGTAAGAAAATAAGAAAGCTAGCTCAATTGTCTTAACACTTGCAGGGCTTGCGAGGCCACAGCTCAGGCGTTGTCTATACTGCTAGCAATTGCAGTTCAAGCAGGACATAATTTAAGCTTCTCTCGATCAGGATCTCAGGTGAGGATGACATCCAATCAGGACACATTTTCTAGAGAAGCCTCCAGAAGATTACCTCATCACCCCGGCTCTCCCCCCACCCTTGGGCAGCAGGTTCTCATGAGAAGTTAATAACGCCATCTCTACTTCTGGCCTTGAAGATAAGAACTGTACAGGCCAAGAAACCAATTAACAGCACCTGCAGGAGGAACTAGGCTGTTACCCCTTGAGGGAAGGCCTGGGACGCTTTGCCTCATACCCACCGAAGCACTTTCTGATATGTAAGCTGTCCATAGCTGAGATCAGGAACGCTTGTCGCAGTGTCTCTTGCCATTTCTGTATCTACACAAAGTTAAGATGTGGCTTGAGAATACTTACAGAATTGGTAATAGTCTCACTATGAAGAAGGAAAAATAATTTACATTAACTTCTGATGAAAGAGGAGTTATATATTATCTCTCTGTGTTTATAAGGGGGGGGGGAGAGTTATGCCTTAATAGTATCAGCCTGAATTAACTGTACTTTCTGCAAGAAATCTGATTTTATTCTGAATTTGAAGTGTGTGACTCAAATGTATCTAAATAGTCATTCCCAGGTTGCTGTTCACACGGATTTCAAAATTAGATTTTTTAAAATTGAGTTGTGAATTTCAGTGTCTCTGTCAATATATAAAATGAGCCTGTAAAATGTTTCTCAAAAGAAAAATGTTGTAAATGTTTTATTCCTATACAAAATACACCCAAGGGGTTTTTTTTGTGTGTGTGTCTGTATTAAGATAGTTTAGTCTATTTAACTTCCTTAATTCTGCTTGGCTTGTGAAATAAACTGAAGCCTCCAATCTGATCCTCCTAACAGGATGCTTATTAATAAAAACTTAAAACATGCAGGCTATACATGTAAAACTAATATGCCCAAGCTACCAAACAAAGGGAGGGAGGGGGTGTGTGTGTGTATATGTATATATATATATGTATATGTATATACACACACACACACATATGACTGTGCTCCTCACTTTTTCTCTCTATCATGATAAATGTGTTTGACACGGCATGAAACAGGAAGTAGCCTGAACACTGGTAGGATTAGAATCTGTATCTAGGTTGTTGAATAGCTACATTTTGAAATGTTGTAAGGAAATGCAACCTCACAGTGTTTTTACAAAGTTATTTTGTGGGTTAGAAATTTGGTGCTTTTTATTTATTTATTTTGAAACCCCAGCAACTGATATGCGGATCTGTGTCTTTTCAGGAGTATTCACTGGGCCACACTGTTTTCATTGACCTGGTCTAGTTCTTTGCAGCATGCTTGCATCCACAAAACCAGAGAGCTGTACCAGATGCACTAACATCCAGTAGAGAGATTCAGGTGGGTAGTTATGTTGGTCTAAAGCAGCAGAACAAAGTTGGTATCCAGTGACACCTTTAAGACCAACATTTGCAAATTTGGTGCCTCTGCCTCAACACCACCCACCCCCCCCCCCGCCCACTGAATATACACTATGAGATTTCACCATGGACTATAATGGCCCATAGGGGTTGAATATATTTGGGATTCCCAAATTTTTCCCAAATCAGAATACAATACCAATATTGGTATTTGGAAATATTCGGGAATACTGGTATTTGGGTCCAATATACCCAAATCGGAATAATACAGATTTTTTTTCCCCTTGCACACCCCTACTCCCAGGTTCAAATTCCTGCTCATCCATGAAGTACACTGGGTCACCTTTGGCCAATCTTTATCTTTCAGTCTAACCTACTTCACAGGGCTGTTAGGATAAAATGGAAGACCCCCAGATAAACAACCTTGAGCAGCTTGGAAGGAAAATGGGGGTACCAGTGTAAAAACTGTAGTAAAGTGAAACAGACAGCTGATACATTAATAAAATAGATCCATGACTTTAAAAAATAATTTGCGTGGATTTATTGAGGCCTTTTTTTTACAAATGGAACATTCCTGTGTACAACATTCATTTGAAGAGGCACAGTTCTGCTTTTGTTTTTTTTGGTAGCACAACATACATAGGCTGTGATCCAATGTAATGATATGTACATGCAGAAAAGAAACATGCGCACAGCTGGAGCTACACATTTGGTTCTACCTCAGCAGTTCCCACTCCTAAGGGGGGGGAGACACACTTAGAACAGTGGCTTGTTTCTTTGGCAATGGGAACAAGCGGAACAGGTGGCACTCCAACTGCTGGTGCTGTTCCCCACTCCTAATGCACACCACTTCTCGCAATCATCAGAGGCTGCACTTTTAGTAAACAACTTTATGTCACCCAGTGGGACTCTGCGCCGGACCCCACTAATGTTGGGGTTGGTCAACCTTTCAAACTAGCATTTGCTGCCTTGTGCTCAAGTTTTGTTTTTTTTCAAGAGTAATTTTCATCAGCCTTCTCGAACTACAAGTTTTGTTTTAGAACTAAAAAAAAACCCCACTGCACAAAACGTAGCACATTCTTTTTTCTATTTAGAATAAGCGCAAATTCAAAATCAAACAGGGTTTCATTAGGGTCTTTAAGGCTTATTACTGATACCTTCTGCCATAACAATTTTATGGTAAAGCAACTAAAATCTTGACAATGAAATGTTATTTTACAGGGAAGTCATTCAGTCGGGATTTGGTGGGAACCAGGAATTTTGTCAACAGGAATGACTGACAAAAGAATGAAGGGTACAGTTGACCACCCACTGAATAGTAAAAAAACCAACCAATTGGTTTTAATTGCACTCAGATTTTCCCACTGAAGTCTAACAGGAACTGTATTAACCTGGCAGTACTGAGTCATAAAGGAAAGTACAGTCTTCACCTCATTTATATGTAGCTCTGAGCACCATTCAGAAGTGCTGTCCTGCATCCTCTTGACCTTCTTTGTGAGCACTGTATTTGTTGTAAATGAATCTGCAAAGGCTTAACTCCATTCCCTTGGATTTCCCACGATTTCATAATGAACCCAGCCTCAGCCTTCCTCATTTTTATATCCTATTGGGGAACTGTTACAGAAGGCCAAAAAACCTTATTTAAAAATCATGTTGCCTCAACTCGTGTCAAAACACCATGCCTTCGTCCAGCAAAGGTGGTGATGGAATCCTGTGACTCACCAGTTCCAAGCCAAGCAGAAGGGATAGGGCAGCTCTCTGCCCCCTGGTGTTGGACTAGCAAGTCTCAGCAGCAGGGGAGGCTTTCTAGACTTTCCCCACAATCTTGAAAGCCCCCACACCTAGAAGTTTGCCCCCAAATCTTTAGTGTGGTCCCAAATTCTGACATTTTTGTGATATAGCTAATACAGGAAAGGGCAGGAGAGAATGTAAGATAAAAGGAACTCTTAAATGTTTTGTGTGACTACACAGGAGGAAGAATTCCATTGACACACTAGAACGTAGTAAGAGCTCGGCTGGGCTACAGGTTTGTAATGTCTCCTTGCGGCTGAGAAATGGGGGACGGAACTAGTTAGGACGTGCCTTCCAGTGAATTAAAATCATTTTAACAAGGAAGCAAATGATACAAATTATATCTTCTTGAGGTTATCCTGAAGCTTTCAGGAGAGGGAAGAGTCTCAGGGTAGAGAAGAACTCAATCTGGAAATTTAATAAAGAAAAAATCTGTATCATACAAGTTCAGTTGTTTGCAGAAACACACTATCTTTGCATTTCTGTTAGCTTCTGGATGTGTATTCATTCTTGCATGAGTTCAATTATAACTGTTAATGCATTATTTTATTTAATGCAGTATTTTTATTTGGTTATTCTGAAAAATTCATCATTCATAGGTCGCCATAAATCGGAAGCGAATTGACGGCACTTAACATACACATTTGAGAAAACAAACATTTGTTATAAATGTATGTATTAGCTTTCTATGTACGGAAGAGTTCTTCTCTTTTTAATGTTCCTTTATATGGCATTTCTGGGGGGGAAAGTTAGTTAAACAGAAGGAATACATGATATTCATGGCACCAGCTGTACATCCACAATGTGGTTGCCACTGCAAAATCACTTTGCCATGATCAGCCCCCCATGCTGTATTGGGAGCATTTGAAAGCACCAAACACAAAGATTCTCACGGCAGCATTGGCGCCAGACTGGTATTGCAAGCCTCCTTGGGTGGGTTTTTTTGTTTTTTAATTTTTATGGATAGCACAGGGTACAATTAATATAAATAAATTATGTGGGACAGGGCAATGCTGCAAGAACCCAAGTTACTGGGGAGTTGAAGTGATGAAACTCTTATATGCTACCAGCGCAATGTGGAAACTGATCTAGAGAAACCATTTTTGTGACAGCAGTCACCACACTACAGAGAGAATGTGTAAACGGGACTTGATAAAAAATCCACAGCAAGTAATATGTGATGGCTTTAAACAACAGGAATCCAAGAATTTCTAGGGGTGTCGCTCTGTTAATCTTACCTAAAAACCTTCATCTAGATTTAAATGGGGGGGGGGGATATATTAAAAGGCATAACTTCATTCTGAGCGCTGTACTGAAATGGATTTTAAATTCACAATGGCCAGAATTCACAGCACTGTGCAACTAGTTCAGTAAACCTAAAGGTATTAGATTCAGTGGGATGGATCTAAATGTTGTTTTCTGCTAAAAAGGGGGGGGGGACTTTCATCACATGATGGAACTTCCTGGCCCCTCTCTATCTTCTGCAGCCCACTGGGGGGACTGAAACCTTAGGAAGAGCAAAAGAGGCAAACTGCAGGTCTGCAATGGGTGTGTGGGGGGGATTGGTGAAAATTACCCCACCTTCCCCTGGTAGAATAATTGTGTTTGAATCTTACCTGAACCCTCACCCTTCAATGCCACAATACACTGCTTCTGAGAGTTGCTAAAATGCTTTCCAGCCTGACAGATACCAGTTCCAGAAAAAAAACTGAAAGGTTTCTACTGGGCAGGTCCTTGCACAACTCTAAGCAACAGATGGGAATCTTGGGGACACATCTACCAGATGCAGATCGTCAACGCTGATTTTCTGTTTCCTTTCCTGCTACGGGTATTCAAACCTGAGCAAAGCCAGTTGGATGAGCCTTTTGGCATAAGCCAAAGTGCAAGAGTCAAAGGGGTCATATGGCCTGCAGCTGGTGGGTTGAGTGAGCTAGCCCAGTTGGGTCCTGGTTACACTGAGTTTTCTTTTTTGTTGCTTTTTTCGGTAAATCTCTTTTGGGACCCTAGTCATAAAAAAAGCAGGATATAAATGTATAGAACAATAAACTCCTTGGATTGTGACCATAGATTTAAAGTGCTTGGTGTAGCTCCATCACTGAAACGAAATCTGTCTGAGCCTAGTTTCAGAGATGGAACTACAAGAGGCGTCTCCAGCCAGGACCCAAACAGCTGTTTCATTTGCAGTTGACAACCTCAGCTAACCAGAGTTGGATATAAAGGTAAGACACAAACCAATATTGGTTGAATTCAGGTATTATTAATGAACTAGCTTGTTTGTGCCATGAACAAGCCCGTAATCTTTGGACCTGTATGCTCTTCTCCTCCTCCTCCCATCATAGGCAGAGCTGAGTTTGAAGACTTCCACATTTAAGAAGTCTTCACTGTAATCATGCTTTCTTATGATGTTAAAATTTGGGCACTTTTAACAAATTGGTGTTTATTTCTTGCCAACAACCTGGGATTCCAAACCCATATTAAGCACTAGGTTGGAAATTGGTTTATAGTCAAGAAACAAACATCAGTTTGTTAACGTGCCTGTGTTAGGAGGATGTGACAACACTTTTGTGATTTGATGAAAAAACTTACTAAGCATCATCACAGTTTGCGTCACGTACTAACTGCGGTTTGCTCATGATGACTGAATGCTGTTGTTATCTTTAAAGAGATAAGTATGAGATCCTAAAAAGAGGGTGGTTTCTGAAGGCAACATATGAACTCAGTGGTATTTTCCAGCAACATTTTATCAAGTCAGAATGAATTAACCTGAAAGCAATTATTATACCCCCCCCCCCTTTTCGGCCTGGAGACGAAAGGAGCATTTGGGCTGAATGCAGTGAGAACCCTCCCAGAGTGGCCCTACTGCTCTAAAAATATTACATCCATCTTCACCCTTGCTTTGTTTATTCACTTTTAATAATGAGAGACTGTGATGTGGGGGCTAGAGTGAGTACTGAGGCTGGGGAGACCCAGGTTCAAGACCCCCCCCCCCACCACAGCCATGGTTGGGTAACCTCGCAGAGGAGAGAACCATGCCCTGCCCTGAGCTACTTTGAAGAAGACTGGGATAAAATGAAATGAATTATTATTACTGTGGCAAATGTTGTTTTATTTAAAGAGTTTGGGTGGTAGTTCAGCAAACGTACAAAATAAGACAGCACACAGGGAGAAGGAGGGGGTCTGTCAGGCTTTTCGCTGCCGCCCGAACAACTAGCAATTTGCTTCTGTTGTTGGGATTCTGAAGATTCCAGCAGAACGTCTCCTGATATGGACTTGACAGTTCGTGATGCAGTCACCACCTCTACATGTCTGGATACTCCTGGCTATATTGAAGCCTCAGCCAAACCAGGAAAAATCACAAGTGGCAAGTGAAGCTCAGAGACGAGATGCAGTTTGTATGTTTAATGACTATACAGTGTTGTTTGTCCCGAGTGGCAGTATGTTTTGGGGGAAAGCGACCCAGCAAAACACAAGGGAGTCTTTTATGTATTTGCTTGACAAGATGTTACACATCGTTGGATTGGAGAACGAGAAAAACAACATGGAACATAGACGTGTTAAACAAAGTTACACAAAAAGCTTTGTTATCCGGCATTCGATTATCCGGAACGTTCAGTCATACTCCATTCACAAGACGGCAGTCTCCTCCCCCTCCGCCTCCATCCCTCTGTGACCTCAGGCATTAGTGCGCCCCACTCTCACCTCTCCAGCTGCCCAAACGGATCCCTCTGGCCGCTGCTGGGCTTCTGACAGCCAGTGTGGCCAGATGACCTCATCCTTCGGTACCTCCTGCCCCCTTGGCTGGACTCAAGCTGTCGGGAGCCAGTCTGCCGGAGGGCTCCCGGGCTTTGCTGCTTTAGGGGGGGAAGGATCCTGCCAGGTGTGGCAGCTGTTGCCGTGGTGCTGCCCAGGGGCAGGGCTTAGTTGCTGCAGATTCCTCTGGGTGGGCAGCGGGGCAGAGCAAATAAGCCTCAGCATGTTTCACAACTGATTCACCAGCAACTCCCATTCCCCATGAGTGCCAGATAACAAAGCTTTTACCATAATTTGTTTTTGGACAACCATGGGCTAATCACTTATTCTCACACACACAAAAAAATCCCGTGATCCCCACCTGTTGCTCTATGGAATTTTAGACTTCAGGAATGAATGAAGAAAAAAACAAACCCAGGCCATGAATGAAGATACATGACTTTGCAACATATATTTTTAAAAAATCTTATCTGCCCTCAATGGCCAGGAGATGCAACAAGGTGTAAACAACTCTTGGTATTAACAAACGTCAAAATTTACCTAAAAAGCACTCCCGGTAAAGGATACCCACTTCATTTTACTTTCAAGCAGCAGCCAATAGGTGCTACTTTATGACCAACTAGGTTTTCGTTCTTGATCCAAAAAATAGAATTGTTTTATGAACAATGATAAAATATAATTTGGTATAAAAAGCACACTGAAAGCAGTTAAGAAGCCACCAGCACCCGATGTGTGTGTGTGTGTGTGTTGCACGACTCCTCTCAACAAAGTCCCCCAAAGTATGTGCAATAAAAGTATAAAGCCAGCATTAAGAGAACACAACTGAAGATGGAGAGAGAGAAATGCAAACAGGATGGTCCTTCCAGGAAAAGAGCCAGATGCTTTCCTAATGTCTTTTTGTGCTTAACACTCACATGACACTTCAAGGAATTCCAACTGCATAAAGAGTTATGAGAAATGAGACAAAAGGTCTGAGGCATGGGAACTCACGCTAAGAGATGGTCTGTTTATCACAGCCATCAAGAATATGACCTCAGATTTGCTGTCAAGGTTGTCACAAAACTGGGGCGCCTTCCTTCAACCTGACCATACATCAATGTTTAAAGCATGTATCAGTGGATCACTCTCCTTCACAATCACTGCCGTTTCCCCCCCCCTCTGAAATCAATACACTCTCTCCATTATGTAGAATATGAACAAAATCCTGGTGCTTTAAAAAATCTGCCCTTGACAAATGACTAAGAATACAATATTTTAAAATGATGTAATGTACAACTTCACATTATTTTTAAGGCATGAACAATGGTATATGGATGCAAAGAGCTTCCAGAAAAGCATTATGTTTTTTTCATTTTTCTGACATGGCCAGTCCAAGCATACCACATCAAGGAACTAAAACCTGAAGCTAGACGTGAAAAGAGTCTTGCGATTCAAGATTTTCATAACAGGATGGACATTCTAGGCAAGTTACATTTAAATGAGAACTTCTGTTATTTCTTTTGGAACTTTCCATGTCTATTGTAAGCACCAGACACTCTTCAGAGCAACTTTGGCTAACTCAGTACACGCTTCTCTTGTGCTGCGTTTTCCCGTATTTGAATCTTTAAAGGGTGCGTTTATTTATTTATTTATTTTTGTATTTTCTTAAATGAAATGACTGTGGCAGAAAAGTTCAGGGTCTGGGCTAATGCACTTTTGGACGTCCATTATAAAGATGAATATAAAAGCAAATGAAAGATTTCTTGCAGACCCACAAACCACCCTCAGCCATAAGAAACATGTTGTGCATAGTTTTTTTCCCCCATCTTTTTTTTTTTTAAAGAGTGATATGTTTACTAGATCTACATTCTCAGTTTACCAGAGTATGAGGGTTTCTATTTTACTGAAGCCAGGATCTTTTCGGAGTTCCCAGTATGAGTCATTAGAAACCCAAGCTTCTCTTTGATTGGCATCAACAACTTTTCTGAAAAATCAAAAAAGAAATGGTAGTTACAGAACATACAACTTGCATTCAACACACAGACAGTGCAGCTAAAGCACTAAAACCCTGCCAACCCCACCAGTCGCTGTTTGCAGGGAAGAGGGGAACTGAATTCAGGCTTGACTACTGATGAGCAACATTTTGCCTTTTCAAAAAGTACTCTGTATGCATAGCCCCAGAGGCTGGATAGGGGAGGTAAACAGCATCTGAAAGACCCTCCGGCACACATACAACTAGGGATATACAAGTAGAAGCCCTTTTCTGCATGCTGCATCTAAGTGTTAATGTGAAGCTGGGTAGATCACGGAGAGGGTGCATCAAACTAGCCATGTGGCTAAAGGGAACCTTCATGTTTTAGAGGCAGCCAATCTCTGAATACCAATGCTAGGAGGCAACATCAGGGGAAAGCCTTGGGCTCTCTGCCCTGGTTGTTGGTCCTCCAGGGCAACTGTTTGGCCGCTGTGTGAAGCAGGATGCTGGATTAGATGGACCCTGGAATGATTCGGCAGGGTTCTTCTTGCATTCTTAAATTGGCATTCTATGAGGAAAGGCTGAAGGAGCTGGGTATGTTTAGCCTGGAAAGGAGACAACTTGAGAGGTTGTCTTGAGAGGCGGCTACGGGCATGGATGGCTTCAAAAGGGAATTAGATAAGCATATGGAGCAGAGGTCCATCAGTGGATATTAGCCACAGGGTATAGATAGGGGCTCTGGGGCAAGTGATGCTCTGTCTTCTTGGTGCTTGGGGGGGTCAGCAGTGGGAGGGCTTCTAATGTCCTGGCCCCACTGCTGGACCTCCTGATGGCACTGGTATTTCTGGCCACTGTGTGACACAGAGTGCTGGACTGGATGGGCCTTTGGCCTGATCCAACATTGGCGTCTCTTATGTTCTTATGTATCAGTAGGAAATAGAAAATTCCTGAATTAACATACTTAAAAAATTTTGGTACATGTTCCATATTGTTTTCTTCTAAGTAGCGCCTTCGAGTTCTCTGGAGATCTTCTATCCTTTGTTTTTCTGCCGCTGCCGCTTCTAAATTCCCTTCCTCCAAAAACCTACAGTAAAGGAATTGGATCTTTCAGTAGGATTCTTAACATTTAATCAGTGGAACAGCCAAACAAGAAGAGATGCCTATCTCACTCTTCAAGGGCCACCAAGTTCACATACGCCAGAAAATGCATTATAAGATAAAATTAAAAAGGGATTTCAAACAATTATGGAACCCTCGGCAAAAAACCCAGAAAGGGCTCTCTGACAGATCCACAACTGGATCTTCCTACCACCTTTTAAAGCTCAATTACATCCGTGTGTGTGTGTGTGTGTGTGTGTGTCCCACACACCCTCCCAATTTTGAACATCAAAATTGGGCCCCTTGAACTGTTACAGCCCTCTAAAGAAAAGGCTGTGTACCTGTTTTTCCCCCCTTCAAGGGCTAATCCCAGCATGGGGGCCTCAATATCAATTAGCAAAACTGTATGGAGATGGAAGGGTTAAATTCACTCTGCTCTCCCTTCCTCACACCCATCTGAATCAGGGCCATGCCAAGCTGTGCTTTGCCTTAAAAAAAACCAGTCACGATCTCCATTAAATCTTGTTTGATCCTTAGGTGATTAATTGTGAGGTTCAGGCTTACTATTCTAGGGGGGGGCGCCATTAACTACATCATGCATCTGTGAGAAAAAATGAGTTTCTTCTTAAACAAATCAGCACGTTTTCTTTTCTTTTAGATGATGCAAGCGCATCCTGCAGTGGAATGGGGGAAATGCTTCTCAGGGAGAAGAAGGTACACCTGTCCTAAGAACAGGCCTCCCATTCACAATTTTTCTAAACGCTTGTATTGAAAATCCAAAATCTGTTACTCAATTCATCAGGGCAGCTCTTCAGTGGATCGAAACATTTAAAATAATCTGTAATCATCTATCTGTTGCTGGATTCTACTACAAACTAAAAAAAAAAATGGGAAAGTACAGAAGGGTGCAAAATACAGATGTTTTTTCAAACTCACATAAATCATATAGAGCCTACCAATAATAATGAATATATTCCAACAGTGTTTAAAATTATGGTGACAATGCTCTTAGTTGCCAATGATGTAACAGTGCACCAGAATTCTATATACAATGCAAATTATATAAAGTCCCAAACACAATATCTGACAATGAATACAAAAATTCACAGATATCCAGCTCATATACAGTTTTTTCCTTTCAACAAAGATAAAATAGCCAGCTGAAATTGTGTGTCCAACTGGCATCTACAAGGAGTCAGAGAGAATAAAATATATGCACAAAGGAACTTCAAAAGCAGTAGTCGCAGAATTCAAGCAGTTGTCCAAATAGTCATTTTATTCATGGTTTACTAGCAGAATACCATTTTGAAGGAGTCTTTCTCAGATAACTATCAGACATTCCTGAAAGACAAAAAATTAATTTAGTGCACTGTTATATCATTGGCAAATAATGGCATCGTCACCATCATTTTAAATATCATTGGAATGTTTTATTTGTCTATTTGTGGGCTCTAGGTGGATTATATGATTTTTACATAGTATTTTGTATACTCTGCACGTCTTTTAATCTGAAGGGTTTCCATTCTTCTGTTTGGGGGATTTCTACTTCAAACCAGACAATCATTGAACAGCTTCTTGCCTTTGATCTGGCCGGAATCGTGCATCGGTTTTTGGAAGAAGGTCTTTGAGCGCAGGATCCAACTCGTTCAACTCAATGGCAAACCTTGTAAAGCCATAATAACGCTCATAATTGGTTGGCATGGAGCCTGTATTAACAGGTGAGACAAAAAGTTAGCAGTTAAACCTTTGTGAACATGACCAAGAGGCTGTGCATCCAGAAGCATGTGCTACACAGGAAAATAGTAATAAACCATGTTCTTGCTCCACCCATGTGCTGCCAAACAAATGGTGGAGAATGACCCGCATCAATCACCCGTTTATGGGGATGGACGACGATCTGGTTGGCACGTTACTTTCATCACATGAATTCCAGAGGGTCAGCCGTGTTAGTCTTCTGCAACCATAATAACCAAGTCTCAAGGCACCTCAAGTTTTTATCCCACACTCTAGCATGGAAGCTTGCTGGTTGATTCTGGCTAGTCAGTCTCAGCCTAAATGACCTTAAAAGGTCATTAAGGGTAGGAGGGATGAACAATGTTGCAAGCTATTCTGGGTCCCCACTGGGGAAAAGGCAGAATATAAATAAAGGGGGTGGCTGCGAGATGAGGAGACACATTCCTACATGTTGCAAACGAAGCCATAATAACCAAGTCTCAAGGCACCTCAAGGACGAACAAATTCACTGTGGCCCAAGTTTTTATCCCACACTCTAGCATGGAAGCTTGCTGGTGGATTCTGGCTAGTCAGTCTCAGCCTAAATGGCCTTAAAAGGTCATAAGGGTAGGAGGGATGAACAATGTTGTAAGCTATTCTGGGTCCCCACTGGGGTAAAGGCAGAATATAAATAAAGGGGGGGGGGCTGCGAGATGAGGAGACGCATTCCTACATGTTGCAAACGAAGCCACCATCAATACACTTTGCTTGGCATTGCTTATACTGATTGGCCGGAGGCTCTGCGAAGTCATTGGCGGAGATCATTCCTCTTACTACCTTATGCTACTTGCTGCTGTAGGACAGCCTAGCAGAATGACCTACAACTGATGGGTCATCCTTACACTTACGCTGGGCTTCAATCCCCTCCTTATACACGTTGGGGGTGGAAAGTGCCGTCAAGTCACAGCTGACATGGCAACCTTGTAGGGTTTTCAAGCCAAGTGACAAACGGGGGTCGTTCGCCATGGTCTGTCTCTGCACATCAACCCTAGACTTCCTTGGTGGTCTCCCATCCAAGTACCGACCAGGGCCAACCCTGCTTAGCTTCCAAGATCTGACAAGATGAGTCCAGCCTGGGCCATCCAGGTCAGGGCATATCCACTTTATTCCTCCCGTTATATAACGTCCTTTCTTGTGATGTCATTAAACCATTATCCATTACGTCACAATCCTGCTTGTTTTCCTTATTATTCAATGCTGCACACTGACCCACTGTGGTCGGAGATGATGTGTTAGTGATGAGGCAGTCACTAGCCAGTATATCCATATCACGGCCACCCACAACCCAATCAGCATCTGTTTCCCATTCAAAAAGCAATTGGCTTCTCATGAGTTCAGTCTGGATGACAGCCAAAATCCACAAAACTAGTGGTGGAAAGTGCCAGAAAGTCACAGCTGCCTTATGGCAACCCTGTAGGGGTTTCATGCTCAGAGGTCACTTGCCATCGCCTGCATCTGTGTAAGGACCAGGACGTCCTTGGTGCTCTCCCATCCAAGTCCTAACCAGTGTTGACTCAACTCAGCTTCCACGGACCAATGGGATCTGAGTAGCCTGAGCCATCTGGGTAATTGGCACTGCTCCAGCACCGGAGCACAAAAGGTCAACAAGCATAATGAAAAATATACAGCCACTTGAACAGAGCCGCTCCATACTGGATGGGGTGAATACCCTCCGCAAGGGGTTGGATTCATCCAGCTTTTCACTAGATCTCACCAAATCTCCCTCCTTTCTCCAGCTCTCATCACACGTCTTTTGTCCATGTGGGTACCCCCTGTGGTCCAAGGGGGCCTTCAAGGGGTTGGATTCATCCAGCTTTTCACTCGATCTCACCAAATCTCCCTCCTTCCTCCAGCGCCCATCACACGTCTTTTGTCCATGCGGGTACCCCCAGCACCTGTGGTCCAAGGGGGCCTTCTCCTCCCCTTTTCATCACACACAAGCACCCGTGAAGCTGCCTTGCACCGAATCAGACCGTTAGTCCATCACAGTCAGTACTGTCTACTTGGATTATCCGCAGCTGTCCAGGGTTCCAGGCAGAGGTCTTTCACATCACTTACTATCCTGGCTTTTTAAACTGGAGATACTGGGGGTTGAACCTGGGACCTTCTGCCTGAGCCACAGCCCCTCAAAAAAAAGGGGGGGGGAGGTTGGATGCAATCCAAGCTGTGTACCTGTTTCTCTCTCCAAGAACAGCTGAGACATATGACCAAATACATATATGCATATATATATTTTACCTGGCCTCCATATACATTTTGCTGAAGGCCCAACTCCACAGTACAATCCTTCGTGCCACTTTCCAAAGAGGCGATGCACCACTTTCCCTTCTTGGTCCATAATGACACCCTGAACTTCATTTACATTAGAATTCCAATAATTCACCTAGAAAAGATAATGAAACAAATAATCACAGGCTTCTTCCTTTACTGAATAAATAAACCAGCCTATTTTAATGCATTTGAACAAAGACCAACACGAGTAGGACATGAGGATGCACACCCACTTCAGCCCCTTGACGGATGGACAGTGAGGATTCTGGAAGATTTAACAGCCCCATCACCCCTGCTGCTGAGTCTCTATTCAACTGTCCGCATGTAGTCCGCTGGAAAGACTAGAATCATGTGGATAACTAAGTTCCAACAAGAAAGACGGACAATAAATGAAGTAACAAAATAAAGAAATGACAGGAGCTACACATGGTCCGCCCTTTCTTTTGTGTGTGCGCTGGAACATCTGATCCAGAAGGAAATCTGATCACTGAAGCCTGCTTCCACAGGCAGAGCACACCTGCTGATTCGGGCAAAGACCGATGGAACCTCCATGTTCCAAGGCAGTGGTTCACTGAATACTGGCTCCTGGGATGGGGCAAGGGGAGAGGAAAGCTATTGCCTTCTTGCTTCACTGCTGTTGTGGGGACATGGAAGCTCGCTGGGTGACCTTGGACCGGCAACTCTCTCTCCGCCTAACCTACCTCACAGGGTTGTTGTGAGGACAAAATGGAGAAGAGGAGGCTGCAAGCTGCTTTACGCCCCCACTGAGGGAAAGATGGGGCCCAAATGAAATAGGCAAGTTACCTTGACAAAGGTGAGTTTACAAATGCAGGCACTACTTTTTGTGTTTCTAATGGTTATTTCTCCATAATGCTCTATCCATCTCCTTCCGCTAAGGATGTTGTGTATGCAAGTGGTCACTTTGTTCCATACGTAACAATCCCCATACCTGGAAAAGAGAGTTAAGTTTAAAAGCGACGGCTTCAAAATCACAGGGTCTAAATCACTGCCGACTCACATAAAAATTAATAATATCCTTCAAACACAGGCTGACACCAATTTATGCATAGAAGGAACGTATGACGGGACAGCACCAGAACTGATTGTTCACGTACTGGGCCCTAGGATTTTAAACCACTCCATGGAACCAGCATGATGTAGAGGTACACTGTTGGACCAGTATCCAGGAGAACCAGTTTCAATCTCCCTTTGTGCCCTGGAAGCTCACCAGTTGACCCCGGGCATCTCACACTCTCTCAGCCTAACCTACCTCGCAGAGCTACTGTTGTGAGGATAAAGCCGAGGAGGGAAGAACAATGTGATAAGCTGCTTTGGGGGGAAAGTGGGGCATTTTAAAAAGAAGAGTTCAGTATAATGAAGATGCAATCTGGACTGCACACTATAACCCTCAAACCACCTTGTGGCAGAGCAACACAAGTCTTAGTATGCTTTAGGGGTAGTCTGTCGCATAGGTAAAGGTTCCCTTGCTCGAAAGCCAGTCGAATACGACTCTAGGGTTGCGGTGCTCATTTCCGTTTCAAAGCCAAAGAGCCAGCGCTGTCTGAAGACGTTTCCATGGTCATGTGGCCGGCATGACGGTGATATTATTTTATCCTGTTTTATCCCCACAAGAACCCTGTGAGGTAGCTTGAAAGTTAATGGATCGCCGAAAGCCACAGGGTTTATGGTTGAGTGTGGTTTTAAATGAGGTTTCTCCCATTCTAAATTCAATAGTCTTTTAATTCTGCCCCACTGCCTCTGTGCAGCAGAAGAACCAAGCAAAATTTCAAACACAAGAGCTAGGCAGACTCAGTTGATCAGCTACACAGAAAGCTCTGGATAAGCATTTTATAGAAAGGAAACCTTGAAAAATTCTGCACTGGGACACACTTACACACGTTTGGCTCTGTGTGTGTGTGTATGAATTAATCTATGTATGTACACGATCCCCGGACTCTTAAGAATGTGTGTTGCTTTGCGAAACCTCAGACTTGTAAAAGAAAACACACGTCACTCTCAGTTACCAGGACATAGCTCATCCCTACCTTTCTACAGAAAACTGAGGAAATCCAGGAGTTTTTTCAGACAAAGATTCCTTTGAATAGTACAAAGCAAGTGCACCGTGTACCACCAAGGAACTGCCATAAATAGCTTGCATAATTTTCAAAGCTGTCTGAACAAACATAATTGTGGCATCCGGTAACAACTGAGCAAGGGGGTTCAAGCTCTTAAAAAGTTCCCGGTCCTTTATGACTGCCACCAACTTCCTCCTGTACTCCCCTCTGCCTTTTCTAGCGTTGGGTCTGCTGCATTGTTCTTCCCCGTTCACCTGTGATTCCAAGAGACTAAAGTGGCTCCCTTGGACGGCTGTTCTGAAACAAAGGAATGCACAGGAAAGACTAGAGAAACCACTTACTTTGGAAGAATCACATTCAGTGTTCCGATGGGCAGGATTTCCATTGATTTGCCCCAAAACTTGTTTTTCCACCTAATGTCTGAAAAAAACAGAGCGAAAGGTTCAGAAAGCTGAAAAGCCCTGAATGGCTAGTGATCTCTGTATATCGTGTGATCTAACCCAATTCTGAACAGGCTATTGTGGGAGGTGGCGGGGGGGAGAGTTAATTATTCTCATTGTCAAGTATGGAAACAGAAACAGCCATCATTGGGGTTATCATAATGAACTGTACAGGTGACACTGGCTTGGATCCAGCACGGCATTTCCAAGGCCGGAAAAACTTCCGCCTGTGAAATGCAACAACATGAACCTGCCTTATACTGCATCAGACCATTGGTCCGTTAAGATTAGTACTGTCTACTCACTGGCAGTGGCTCTCCAGGGTCTCAAATACAGGTCTTTCGTATCACCTACTACATGGTTCTTTCAAATGGGGATACTGGGGATCGAACCTGGGACCTTCTGCATGCAAAGCAGAAGCTCTTCCACTAAGCCACAGCCCCTCAAAGGCTTTCTTGCTTCCCTTTCAAACTGCGGCAGGATGTGGGGAAGCCAGAAAGTCATGCTCCGTGGGCGGAAACTGTTCCACCCAAAATAACACTGCAGTGGACGCCAGCCACTAATATAGATATATTTTTCCTTTTCAAATTAAGTGTGATCTTGCATTTCAGGCTGCAGTGGGAAGGGGGACGGGAGAAAGTTTGCCCTCTGTGCATGGAAATCCTTCCACTCAAAAAAATGCTGCACTGGATCCAAACCAGTGAAACAGATTCCGTGTCGTCGTTGTCGTCCCCCCTTAAAATCAAGTATGATCTTTTGGTTTGTGTATGAAAATGCACATACCTTGCCAAAACACAAAATTCTTTGATTCACAGTGACAGGCCGAAATGGGTGGGTGGTGGCTAACCTGGAAGAAGAAGAAAAGGTGCTGGTGAGGCTCCGTCCAAAAGAGGATAAATAGATGTTCCTTCTAAATCGGACTCAGATTTACAAGATGGCGTTTCTCAAAATGCTTCAGAAATAACTTTCTATTAAAGAACCCAAAACGCTACAGTGAACTTTTTAAAGAGACATTGTCTTCGCTCCAAAAGAAGTTGCCCGGCTTGCTATTCATGAGCTTTCTCCTACAGTGAGGTTACCTGCTCCGCGAAAAATCTAAATCCTTTGTCTTCCCGAATCGTCTCGTAAGTCTCCCCCAGCACAGGATTGAAAGGCTTGCTTCCTGCTCGGTAGTATGTGGAGGCATAGCCCGAGGCTGCAAAGGCGGCGACCAGGACCTGAGCAAAGCAACAAAAATGGCATTTAAGAAAACCACTGAAAAGTGGGCCTGTGAATGATGCTGAATGGAGAAACTCAGTGGTCTGTTAACTGCAGTAAGTCAGTAAGAGACTTCCCTGCTTCCCCTTTCTGCTGCAGCCCACAGTGACCCATAAAATGCTGTTCCTGGGGGACACAAGCTTCCCCAGGAACAGCACGAGGGGAGAATCAGAGGGCCACAACCGGGGAGGCAGGGAATCAGCAAAAGGTGCCCCTTTTCCTGGGGCCAGTTCTAGTGTTGGGGGGGCCTGGGCAAAAAGCTCCTCTGCCCACAGCCGGCATTCACGCCCTCCTTTCCTCCTACCTACCTGCATGCCTCTCACCTGTTTGTGTGTCCTTTCCTCGTCTGCTCATAAGCACCCCCACTACCCACGCTCACAGCTCCCTGCAGAACTTTCCCCAGTGGCACCAGGATGCACGTGCAGGAGGGAGCGTGGGTAGCAAAGTGCTATCGAGTGAGTGGGCAGGGGGGGCTGGCAGTGGCAGAACCCCCGGGCCCCACCAGCTCCCCCACTTGGGGACACGCCGATGTTGGAACTGCCCTTCACATTTCTGTTAATGGTAATTTCCCCCAGGCCCAAAACTCAGTCTGTACAAGCCCTTTGGGATTCATCTCACATTCCTTACTGACAATGACACCACCTCGGGAGCCTTTTGATTGTAAGGCAGTATGAAAAAGATTTGAATATAAATAAAAAACACGTTTTGATGTATTGTCCACCAGCTCCCCCACTTGGGGACACGCCGATGTTGGAACTGCCCTTCACATTTCTGCTAATGGTAATTTCCCCCAGGCCCAAAACTCAGTCTGTACAAGCCCTTTGGGATTCATCTCACATTCCTTACTGACAATGACACCACCTCGGGAGCCTTTTGATTGTAAGGCAGTATGAAAAAGATTTGAATATAAATAAAACACGTTTTGGTGTATTGTCCAGATACACAAACTAGAGTACTGCTCTGGTGCACATACATATAATGGAGGCAGCCTGGGACATACCTCTTCAAATGAACAGGCTTGAACAAGAGTGTTCATTTCAGATGGAAACTGCAAAGCAGAACTAGCAAGCAATTTTCGTCTTGTAAGAACATACTGCACTTTATTTCACTCGCACAGAATGTGTTGAAATCTTTAGTGTTTATGGGGGGGCGGGGGATGTTGCATGCATACAGATACAGGAACGATCATCCTGTGCAAAGCATGTCATGGAAAACATCCTAGTGCTTTAGATTTGCTTACTACGGAGCTACTTAGCACATGCTTCTAAAGGCCAAAGTAAACAAGACCGTTTTTCCACAGATTGCACATCTAGGTTTCCCAACCTGAGTTTTAGACCATCAGCCAGAAGTGGGAATTCATTTCCTAAACACGCAGACCCCTGCTTTGGGTACGAACCACAGCACAGAGGAGGAAAGGGCTTCAGATTTCCAATCATGCTGTTTCCTGACCCAGAAAGGCTTGGGAGGGGCATTACTTGCCCTGTTTGGGGGGGGGGGCTGGATGTGTACTTACGGGCTACACATGAGATACGTTCTCTCGTATCAGGAGATGCACGAGTTCCTGATGTGGATATTGCACCAGAGGCATAGAATTAAGCAAAGAATCAAGCCAATCACACATCCACATTCACTACTTCTCTGTAACATCCACAGTCACTGTACAGGATGGCTCGGCAACCTAGTTATCTGCGCCTGACTGCGTATAATTTGGCCCCACCCTCTATGGTCCCATCCTCTGTAGACGGGGAAAAGAGGGATTGAGAGCAAAGTCTGTGAAAAACAGAAGCAAGGGGAAGGTGTTTCTCTGTACATACACAGCATAAATGAACGTCAAGGAGGAACTAAGCAAGATGAATGAATGTAAAGGACGAGCTAAGCAAGATTACGAATCTTTCTCCAATTCCCTCTTTCTGCCAATATGCATTTCAATGAGGTTTAGCTGACATCCCAATTAGAAGCTAGATGGCAAAGGGGAGCTTGCCTACCACCTAACTCATCTCGCGGTACAAAATGGTAGGCAGCCAGATGCAAACAAGTAAGAATGTGAAAAGGATAGCCCGTCCCCCATCCCCCCCCCGGCTCTTCTGTATTCAGTTCCATTCAGTAACCACAAGGGCACCCAACACAGGTCAGATGGCTAAGAATGGTGTGCAGAGGTGTTCCATGAAAGAGCTCTAGCAGAGAGTGAGGAAACTGTGGGACATGCAAGTAAGGTGCTCTGTCAAGGTTGCTACCATGCGTTCGTAGAGGTCATCACACTCGGCAGCCTTGTCCAAGAGTTCGCTATATTCCAGCTCTTCACAAAGGTGCTGCAAAGTGTTTAGCGGTTCGTTGAGCTCTACAGGCATGGATACTTTGGAGAGATCCTTCCCAATATTATTTCTCAAAATGTTCCACAGATTGATGTTACTAGTATCAGGGCAGGGGCTCGGAAGACACGTCCGTCGTCCGTTTCTGAAAGCGCCTCCCGTCAGCTCACCGTTAAGTACTGGAAGAGAAAACAGAGAGCTTGAATAGGAAAGCCTTTTATATTGACATAAGAATATACATGTCAGGCTATTGGGTCTGAATTCAATCAAAATTCTAGCCTGAGGCCCGTGAGCCAATTATAGTCCTCTCCTGTGGAATTCCTAAATATCTGTTGGTGACCTTTTCTCACTAGTTTGGTGGGCCTTGCATACAACTATGATAATCATCAATAGTACAGGGTGGGAATGGAAGGGATCGGGTTGTGCTCTATCTACTTGGTTTCCTTCTGTGAAGTCAGAAGTTCTTGATGGAGATGCGAGCTAGCTTTTCCAGACAGCCACTTAGGGCCAAACTACACAGTACAGCAGCCTCGGGTCCAACCCGTAGCTGCTGATGCTGTTTCAGAGGGAAATTTAGCCACCTAAAAGTTGTTGCAAGGGCTCTATACTCAGAGAGGTGGCTGAATAAAGCCTGCCCCTATCCCCCTGACTGCTGGTACTCCAAGGAGGTCTCCCATCCAAGTACTTGCCAGAGTCGACCCTCCTTAACTTCCGAGATCTGGAGAGATCGGGCTTGCCTGGGCTATCCCGGTTAGGGCCTTTAGGGCCATTTTTGAGTCAAGAAAATAGACCATGGGGAACACTTAAACCACCTACTGCCCGTGGTCCCCATCTGAATTGGGTCCTCACGCACCTTCTGTCAAAAGGAAAATCAAGAGCGAGCAGGAGCTTATTCACCAAATTCTCAGTATTATGTATGATTTGGCAGTGAGACTCCCTCAGGACCGAATTATACGTTACATACAAATACAGCAGCGGCACTCAAGCAGCCCTTGTAAACCAGAAAAGCGACCAGGAGGGGGCAATTGGGAGCAGAGAAGCAGCAGGGATGGAGATGGGATGCACAGCCCTCTGTCTGCCTGCTGTTTCAATCCCTCACCCCGCCCCAAAGCTTTTCCCATCAGTGGATTCTAAACTCATCCTGGGACACACACACACCCCAACCTCCTCCTCCTCAAAGTAGATTTGTTGGGATTTCATTCTATGCATTTGTATGTCGACTGCTGGGAGACTGAAAGTCTCATATGTTGTTTGCCAGTGGATTCTGTAAGGAACAGCAGGGAGGATACGAGGCAGAAAAAAATAGAGGAACAAAGGAAAGAGGAGGAGGAGGAGGAGGAGGAGGAGGAGAGATTTATCCCCCGCCCTTCACTTGGAGTCTCAGAGCGGCTTACAAACTCCTTTCCCTTCCCCTCCCCACACCCCGTGAGGTGGGTGGGGCTGAGAGAACTCTGACACAAACTGCTCTTTCAGGAACAGCTGTGCCAGAGCTTGTGGGAAAAGAAATGGGCATGCAGAGACACGGGTGGGGTAAGGAGAGGGCTCAGACATGGGGTGCAGAGAGACCTGTAGTAGTACGGAGAGAAGAGAGTGTGTTATCAGGGTGCATGGGGAAAAGGGGGGGGGGATTATTCAGAAAAGGGACAGTTCAGAACCGGGGGAGCGAAGAGGCCTGCAGAATGAAGGAAATGAAGGAAATGAGGCTAACGGGGGATAACTAAGACTACAACCAGGAAACCTGCAGTGATGCAGAGAGAAAAAGAGTCAGTAACAGACAAAAGGGTACAGAGGGCCCTGTGGGTGGGGGCGATAGCAAAACTGGGTTGAGTAGCATCTGAGACGCTGGGGAAGTACCTGGGTATGGAGAAAGGAGGAATTGTTACATTATGGGCTAGGCAGAGGAAAGGAGGGTGAGCAGAGGAATTCAGGGACGCGTGATGGTGCAGATCGAGCATATTACAGGACATGAAGAAATTGTTAAGGAGAAACACTGAGAGAATTGTTGGGGGATGGAAGGAGGGGATCCTTTTTTGTGGGTCATTTAGCAATATGGCCATTCTGAGTCACTAAAACTTTAAACGTGGTCTTCAGAGTGATTTGAGATTTGCATTCCCACAAAGAGCCAGTGTGGTGTAGTGGTTAGGCGCGCAGACGCTGACCTGGGAGAACCGGATTTGATTCCCCACTCCTCCACATGCAGCTGCTGGCATGACCTTGGATCAGTCACAAGTTATTTCAGAGCTGTTCTCTCAGGGGCAGTCCTCGAAAGAGCTCTCTCAGCCCCACCTACCTCACAGGGTGTCTGTAGTGGGGAGAGGAGGGGAAAGGAGATTGTAAACCGCCCCGAGACTCCTGCGGGTAGTGAGCGGCGGAGTATAAATCCAATCTCTTCTTCTCTTCTAATTAATTTATGTATTTTCCTCATTTACCTTCTGCCCATCTCCATGGTGGGGAGCCAAACTGACTCATGCCATTTTCCTCTCCCCTCCACTCTATCCTCATAACGACCCTGTGAGGTAGGCTAAACTCAGAGTGTGACTGCTCACAATCACTCAGTAAACTTACGCAGCAGGGTGGGGATTCAAACCTGGGTCTCCCAGGTCCTAGTTCAGCCCTCTGACCACTACACAACACTGCCTTCTCACGCTGACATTAGCACAAGCCCACACGATTCCACAAAGTACAAAGGGAATGTTCCTGTATATCTCTGTGCACCTTAGGCCAGTCCCTAAAAAGAACGTGGCTTTCAACAATTTTGCGTATGTTTGTTTAACTGCATACTTTGCCGAGAAATGTTGTCTGCTACACTGGTGTTGTCCTCAGATATGTTATCACTCACATCACTGATGTACGATTCATCGTCAGAAGCCTGAAAGGGAGAAACGAAGAGATTAAATGACTTAAGATCACAATAAGCTACGAACACAAATAGCTGGTTTCAGAAACTGAAGTCCCCGGTAAGGCACGCTTCCTTTCCCCTCCTCTCTCAACCGTGCCGTGTGGAGTCGAGTCCTTTTCCATGGTTACCTTTTACCATGCACATAGGGAGAACATGCTCTATGGGATCCCCTCGATATGAGTGACTGCCATTTTCTCTGAAAAGGGCAAAGCACATGTTTCCAGCCTTGCCACATACATAAAGGTAAAGGTTCCCTTGCTCAAAAGCCAGTCGAATCCGACTCTAGGGTTGTGGTGCTCATCTCCGTTTCAAAGCCGAAGAGCCAGCGCTGTCCGAAGACGTTTCCGTGGTCATGTGGCCGGCATGACTAAACGCCAAGGCGCACGGAACGCTGTTACCTTCCCACCGAAGTGGTACCTATTTATCTACTTGCAATTTCTTGCTTTCGAACTGCTAGGTTGGCAGGAGCTGGCACTAGAGACGGGAGCTCACTCCATCATGCGGCACCCCTGGGTCTCGAACTGCTGAACTACTAACCTTCCACAGCCTGCAGGTCAGCGTCTTAACCACTTGAGCCACCGCAGCTCATACATACCAGAACTCTAATTTCCCAGGCTTTGGGGAACTGAAGCTGCAAACACTCACACTGCCCCTTTCAAACAAAATGGTGACTGTCCGTACTGGGAGCGTCACACGTAGGCCATTCTTCCCACACATGTGTTGCAACTTAATGAGTGAAAATGGCTTAAGTTACTCTATCTACTATATAAACCTTCCCTGGCAACCAACTTCCACAGCCCCTGCCCCAAACTCATCAGGCACTTTCAACTTTGGGGAAACCTGGACTGGCTTGATATTAACCAGTTGAATCATTTATATGTTCTAGCAGAAACAAAGGGGACTATCCTCCAATAGGAGAGGTTCCTGCAGATCAAAGAGTAAATTCAATCTGTCAAGCATGGATGACTAAAGCAAGACAACTTTACCCTATCTATCAACCTCATATGGAGTAAAATGACAGTAGAAGAAAACCATGCCAGTCAAGTCTTCAAAATGGGGGGGGGGAATGATTCTTTAACCAAGAAAATGTAATGCCAAGCAGAAAAGAGGTCTGAAAACCATGATTAGTTAATATACTTAAGAAAAAACACAAAGAATATTCTATATTGAGCTCACTTTACTGAACCAAACGCATTAAGGATACACAGCGGACATGGCCTATGGGATGGAAAGGAGGAAGGGTTGACTGACAGAGGGACTGAGGGCGATGTGTTAAGGCTGCAGACAGCGTAATATAGGATTCACAACGATTTGGGGTGTATACCTCTTGCAGGCAAGGGCTAGAAAGGTTCTCTAATGGCTGCCAACACTGTGGTATGGGTCTCCTCAGGAGGGCTCAGAGCACCCATCCTACCCCTTTGTACGCTCCCTTTCCAGTAGGTTTCCCCTTATAAGTGACTGAATGAGGCGTGAAGACCCAGGCAGAGTAACATATTGTCTTTATTAAAGAGATTTAACAATAACTGCGATTCAATAACGTGTAGGAAAAATGAGCACAGAAAAGGTAGGTCAACCAGCAAAATAAGAAACCCTAACACGTCTGACTACACTGCCCACAGCCTTCTCTATGTATTTGGCCTCCAGCTGATTTCACCCCTCTTGGATGAGGGATCCCTCCATCTGCAGCAGCTTCACACCAGCTCTGCTCCCTGGGAGTGAACCCCCCTCCCACTTTAGGCAAAGTCTTTTATCACTTCTTCCCAGGCAACACCCTCTACTAGGGCTGCCAGGTCCATCTTCATCCCCAGCAGGGGACTTTGGGGGGAGTTCCTGGAGGGGGCAGGGTGTCCCCAACGCCATGATGTCATGCTGGGGATGTCCCGGCTCCAAGCTCCGCCCCGACAGGGACGGTCCCCCCAGTTGTCAGCCACAGCCGGAGGGCCTGGTGCACCTGATCTGCTCTGAGATCAGGCACGAAGGGCCCTTTCCGCCGGCTGCCTGCACTTAAAGTGTTCCCTTTAAGTGCAGGCAGCCTGAGGGCCTGGCGCACCTGATCTCCGAGCAGCAATGCCACTCAGAGATCGGGCACGGGGCCCGCAGCCGCCCCCCTCTCTCTTCTCTCTCGAGAAGGGAGAGGGGTGGCTGCAGGTGTTGGGACTTGGGGGCAGGGCTTCTCCCGCTGGCCAGCTGGCCGGCGGGGTGTTGAACCCCCCCCCCAAAGTGGGTAAACCCTGCCAAACCGGGGGGTCAGGCAATCCTACCCTCTACTATTTTACTGGTGTAAGTTTTCCCTCCAAATCCCCTGTTAGCCAATCACAGGGTCCAGAGGAGACCTGGGAATTGTAGGCCCTCATAGCTACTGTTATACCGGCTTCCCTGGAACCACTGGGCCTCCCTAAAAGAATATTCTATATTGAGCTCACTTTACTGAACCAAACGCATTAAGGATACACAGCGGACATGGCCTATGGGATGGAAAGGAGGAAGGGTTGACTGACAGAGGGACTGAGGGCGATGTGTTAAGGCTGCAGACAGCGTAATATAGGATTCACAACGATTTGGGGTGTATACCTCTTGCAGGCAAGGGCTAGAAAGGTTCTCTAATGGCTGCCAACACTGTGGTATGGGTCTCCTCAGGAGGGCTCAGAGCACCCATCCTACCCCTTTGTACGCTCCCTTTCCAGTAGGTTTCCCCTTATAAGTGACTGAATGAGGCGTGAAGACCCAGGCAGAGTAACATATTGTCTTTATTAAAGAGATTTAACAATAACTGCGATTCAATAACGTGTAGGAAAAATGAGCACAGAAAAGGTAGGTCAACCAGCAAAATAAGAAACCCTAACACGTCTGACTACACTGCCCACAGCCTTCTCTATGTATTTGGCCTCAAGCTGATTTCACCCCTCTTGGATGAGGGATCCCTCCATCTGCAGCAGCTTCACACCAGCTCTGCTCCCTGGGAGTGAACCCCCCTCCCACTTTAGGCAAAGCCTTTTATCACTTCTTCCTCTACTAGGGCTGCCAGGTCCATCTTCGTCCCCAGCAGGGAACTTTGGGGGGAGTTGCTGGAGGGGGCAGGGTGTCCCCAACGCCATGATGTCATGCTGGGGATGTCCCGGCTCCAAGCTCTGCCCCGGCAGGGACGGTCCCCCCGGTTGTCAGCCATAGCCGGAGGGCCCAGTGCACCCGATCTGCTCGGAGATCAGGCACGAAGAGCCCTTTCCGCCGGCTGCCTGCACTCAAAGGGTTCCCTTTAAGTGCAGGCAGCCTGAGAGCCTGGCGCACCTCATCTCCAAGCAGCAATGCCACTCAGAGATCGGGCATGGGGCCCGCAGCCGCCCCTCTGCCATTTTTTTGGGAACCCGAGACACCCCCCAGGTTTTCATAAAAATTTTAAAAGTAAAAAAAAAAAAACATTGTGGGGGGGTTGACCCCCCCCCCCCAAAGTGGGTAAACCCTGCCAAACCGGGGGGTCAGGCAATCCTACCCTCTACTATTTTACTGGTGTAAGTTTTCCCTCCAAATCCCCTGTTAGCCAATCACAGGGTCCAGAGGAGACCTGGGAATTGTAGTCCCTCTTAGCTACTGTTATACAGGCTTCCCTGGAACCACTGGGCCTCCCTAAAACCTGTAGGCTGCACTACTATAGGCCTAGGATCATAACAGTATCCCTCCTCTAAGAGATCTGACATTAATATCCCGTGATCAACCATGAACTCACAGGATGGGTGTTGCAGAAGACACCTTTTTTTTCAGCTTCAGTTTTTCATCACTAAAATGGGGAAAGCCAGAGGTCCACAAGTTCTGGCTTGACCTACCAGCACAGCCATTATTTGTGGTCACCATCAACAACCCTTCCCCCATGTTCTGTAGAATGGTGTGCTGGGTTTTCGCAGAAAATGCACATAGTTCCTTAGTGCTGCTGCCCCCGGCAAAATCCTACTTGAAAAGAAAGAAACGACCCTCTCTTCTTCTACAAAGAACAAGAGAGGAGAAGTGGTCTTCTCCCTTCACTTCCTACAAAAACCCAGCAAGTGGTGGGAAAAGAACAGGAGGTTTCCCTTTTCTGTGCTTGGTTTTTGCAGAATGAGAAGGGGAAAAAATTATTTCTTTTCTACCTCATTCTCCAAGTTCGAGTTCTCCAAGTTTTCTTCTGTGTCCTGGTTTTTTGCTGCAATTGGAGAGGCTCTCACTAGATGGGGGAAGACTGCTCTCCCCCAGGAAGTACGCACGTTAATGTATTGGACTCACCAGTAAACTGACTTCTCGGGATTATTAGGAAAACAATCTAAAAATATTTTAAGCTGAACATGAACAGTACTACGTACACAATTGTTCCACCTGAAAAAGTAGTTAAGAAAAGAGACACAAAGGCTGACCCCACAGCTGCAATTCACCACAGGAACTGGCTATCTCTCCTTATATATAATTGAATAGTGGGTGCCAAAGTTCTAATTCTAAAATGCACTCCCTTAGTGTATGGCTGATGGCACTGCTCCTCAGCATATATCGCCACCAATCAGAAGGCAAAGCCCGGGTCCCGCCCACACCACAACTGCTGCGACAACCTGGTCTTTTGCATATGGAAGCTGATTGGACTTCAGTCCATTCCACACCTCAAACTCCCCCCCCCCGCAAGGCAGTTGGAATGTCAGTTGCATATGGAATCTGCTGTATTCTGGTGGTGTGCAGGTCCCAGATTCATGTTTTAAAAGCAGACTGACACTGTTTGCCCAAAGCCAGAGCAATCTCCCAGAGCCTCTTTCTAGCTCCCGTTGTATTTATTTCCACAACGGGCCTTATTTCTAGTCTCTATATCTAATTCTGAGACTGGCCACAGAATGCGGATCAAAAAATCCACAGAGTGCCATCAGGGACAGACAGGGAGACGCATCTCACCGGAAGACAAACACTCTTCCTTTATCATTCTCCACAGAGGAAAGCAGGATATTTTCTCTCTTAAAATATGTTTTTGGAGGGAGAAGCGGCACCAGGTTTGCATAAAAACCTTACATCAAAAGAAAAAACGAGCTAGGAAAAGAAAATGTTCTAAAATGCTGAGATCTCCAGAGATTACCTCACAAGATATCGGCAGCCACTTTGGCTTGCCTAAGTAACTGTGATGGGGGAAGGAAGTAAAAGCGTGGGGGGGGGGGGGGGCCCGGAGGGGGG